AGAAAATATTTACTAACACATACCCCATATTTTTTGGAAATAAACATAATAAAAAATAACATAATTAATAACATAATAAACTGAAAGGTGGCAGTAATAAACTGTCTACTAATTTATTATAAATGTTCTGCGTGTTCTCCATTCTTTTTGACACATTTCTTTAAAAGTTTTATTAAACTATTAAGAATAGGAAACGTATTATATATTCATCTAACTTACCGTATGACATCTTTTATTCTATCCCAAAGTTCTTCTCCCGTATTAGGTGTTACAGAGTTGTAAACAATTCCTTTCAAATCACTCCAAAAATAAAATTGTAACGGATTAAAATCAGGACAGCGAGAAGGCCAAGGAAAATCGCTACCTCGATCTGTCCAACTGTTTGGAAATGCTTGATTTAAATGATCTCTCACCAAATGACTGCAATGAGTAGGGGCACCATCGTACATGAACCACATTTGTCATCTAGTATTAAAGGTACTTTTTCGTGAGCCCCATGAAGTTCTTGCCAAAGGAATTCCAAATAATTTTGGCTGTTCAACCTTGCAGGTAGAGCGATAGGCCCCAAAATTAAATTTCCTATAATCCCATACCAGACGTTACCTGAAAATTCCTGTTGGAAGTGATGCTCTTTTATTGCGTGAAAGTTTTTGCAATTAATAACACCTCTATGAATAAAAACAGCTTCATCTGTAAAGGCAATTCCTCTGAGAAAAGTGCGATCCCTGTTATGTAACTTGAGAAATCGTTCGCAAAATGTTAATCTCAGCAGGCGGTCTGGTTTAAGCAAATTTTGGTACAGGATGAAAATGGAAACATTGTAACTACTGCGTGTGGAGTATAGTTGAAACGGTTATGCGGCCAACTCCTGCGACTGCTGTCAACCACGAATACTAATTTCTGGATTTTCTTCTACCTCTTTCTAGAATTTGTTCTTCGTCTTGTACCTTCCATTTCGTGAATTAAAACTAAGGTTTCCGGTGTTTCTCCTAATCTGGCGAATAAAGAAGCAAACAATGTATGAGAAGGCTGTCTGCGATTCGGATAAAGTTCTTGATATGTTCTCTTAGCAACACGTCCACTAAAATCAAGACTAAAATGTTCCTGTACATATACCACTATCATGTCTCATTTCATAATTCGTAAATTCATTGTGACGAGGCATTTTCAGAAACAAACTTTTGCAAAATACAAATTTGTCAGTGATTTATCGACATTGTCATGTTATGGATACGTAGTTATTTCCAAAAAATATGGGGTATGTGTTAATAAATATTTTCTTATATCTTCATACCCGAGTATAATTTCGACTTTTGATAGGTATACATTTTTTGTGTGGAATAAAATTCTATACCTATTTCTGATAGTTGCATGTAAAAATTTAAACGTACAAAAAAGTTACAGAAGAATATTCACAAAGGGTTGTAGTAAAATGAACGGCCCATATGATTTAACCTAATAGGAACATAATCACTGCATACCTCCTGAAGAAAAACTAAGCAACAGCAAATTTTGCTGAACTCCGTTAACTGGGTTCTGAGTTAAAGAAGAAAACAAAAAATAAAAAAAGAAACTAACACCCTGTAACTTTTTTGTGACATTTTTCGTTTAAGCAAGTTTGATTAAATCGATACCATTTGGGTTCTAGATTATAACCTTGAAGTATGTAACATTCGTTGGGTGACATCCTGTATAGCATATACCCATAAAATTTATGTTGATTAAACTGTTGTAAACAAGCCATTCATTATTATCTGTGTTTTAATTTGCAACGTTTTATTAGATTCGTTATAATTTACATAATACATATAAGTAATGGAAATGAATTAAATTTTAAACAATACTTTAGATAATTTCTTGATAATTCCAATTGATGGTCGTATTATCAGAATAATCTAATTAATGACTCTAATTCCAAGAATAGACTTCTCTTAATCTTTGATTAACTTTCTGTTTCTGTCAATTAATTGGATCAAATTGGATTCATGAATAAGCTTTTGCCTCGGCTTTAGCTTAGTACAGCGCTAGCTATGTAACAAAATGATGTGTATTAACTGCCAATTTCTTTTTAATTTGAAATTATTATGTGGTTGTAATTTACCGATCAAGATGTGTGGCAGGGAGACAATGATTGTTTTTTTTCTTGGGTTTTTACACAGGCTTTACCTTGACGAATTGTGCATACAAAGTATTTTTTCACTAAAATCTTAGTTGCTGGAATTTAAAACCAATTGAAATTTGTTTTTAAAATATAGAAAACGTTTTTTGAATTATGTATCATGTACTTATTTATATTAAACTTACCACAACAAACGGAGAGTATAATATTGATGAATATGGGTGCACCATCAGTGTTACATTTTCAAAAAATTATGTACCTATCTACTAACGTTTTTACCACAAAAATATATATTTTAATAAATGTGACTCATTTCTTTCTCAATTTTGTGTTATTAAATTTTGAAGTAACATACAAATTTATTTAAATTCAGTGAGATAAAAATGTAAAGTCCAAAATAATCTAATGGGTTGTCAATAAATAATTCCAAACAATAATTTAAGATGCGGTCACGTAAAAGTTTATTAATAAATTTCAGTTTTTAAACAATGTAAAATGTATTATTGTATAAAGGACATTCAAATTTGGAATTTTTGTTTTAAATTTGACTAAACTGAAATACTCGCAACAATTATTGTTCTTATAAGGGTACTATTAGATATTTAGCAGGTACTTAATTAATTTACACTTGCCAAAATTTATTAATTTTGTTATGGTGAAATGTGCTTCAGTTTAAGTCACGCCAATGATATTAAAATAATTATTATTGTCACGAGAAAATTTGTTTTCTTATTTTGAATATTATTCAGATATTATTAGATACCCTTTGAACACTCGAAATCAAAAAATAATCACCAAGGTCTTTTTCTCACCCAGTTAAACATGTTATTAACATTTTCTGATTAATCTGAGCTCTATCAATAAAACTTCCTCGATGTAATACTGAGATGATTAGGAAAATCCAAAGGTAATGTTATTGTAAATTCATAGATATTGTATTACACAGTTTTTTAACTATTTTAGTTATGAAATGGAATAAAGTACAAATATAAGGTTATCATATTGGTATATTAAGATAAGTTTTGTTACAAGGATAGCAAATATTAGCATTGAAATACACAAAATATCTCATTTATCAGTTTTTCACATATGAATATTAAGTATTAGTATATGTTTCTATGCTATAAATGGTAATTATTATTGGTAATTTACGTTGGTACAACCGAGGATTCAGAAAAAAAAGGAACATGTAACATATCGAGTGATACAAACTTACCAGATCTTCGAAGTATAAAATAATTAAGTAGTTTTTATAATTATTTATAAAACATATTTACACACCATAATTTTAGTACGAATCCTTAGTCCCAAAAATCAGGACTTTGGGTCACACAAAAAGAACGTGCAAACAGCAAATATTTCCGAGACAAAATTAATTAAATTTAAGCAAGTTTATATAGGCAACAAGACTTACAATGAATAATCATTTAAATTTAAAACAAGAACATTTACAACACATTATTACTCAAATATTACTTCCAAATTGGTGGTTTTCCCGACAGTTTTACATTTACCATTTGTCTTAATAAATTGGTTAAAAAATTGGCCAAGTCACATAGATACATGTGACAAAAATTTTATCAAATATTTTAGTTTAAAAGAAATGCCTAGCAATTAGAAAAATAATAGAACTGGTTCTAATTTATCAGCCAATTTCTAGAAATTTTAGTAACTTTTCATTCAATGTCCATTCAATGGTATTGTCTTTATTTATTTATTTATAGCATTTCTTAGTATAGCCGGTCAAAATAGACATTTCAAATAACGAAAATTTCGACAGAGCTAAATTTTGGTGGAGACCTTGGGTACACCATTAGAAATAAAGCATCGAAAAAAATCCAAAAAACATCAAATTTTGACTTTTGACCCCGAATAACTTTTTTAGCACACATGGGATCGATGGGGACCTTTAACACTTTATTTCTAATGGTGTACCCAAGGTCTCCAGCAAAATTTAGCTCTGTCGAAATTTTCGTTATTTGACCACTATTTTTATGACTAATTTGACCGGACTAGTAGTTTTTTTATTTAATTGCCACACTGGAAGGAAAAAAATAAATTATTTAAAAAATATGTAAATAAAAAATACCTTGCATGAAAAGATTAATCAAGAAGTTGAATTATAAATTTATTTTTGCTTGACCAGAAATAATTGTTCATGATTTCACTAAAACACTGTAACACTACAAATCTTTTTTGTTTTTAAGTTGGTTGCGGTTTTGTTGACACAATTGATTTTTATTGTAAAAGATGTCTAATTTATGTAACATATTGGCAAATATAGTGAATTGTAACAATGGCGTGTGTGCCAGCTTTTTAAATATTACTATAAAATAAAATTGATACATATTTATTTTTTATTTTTGTATTAAATCATTATTTAACACATAGTTATAAAAAACGTAAAAGTAAAATGAATTTTACTGACTGTTGTGATGTCCTAGACAATAACATAATTGCACCATCTATTAATAGGAAGCTCAACTTAAATCTTATACCACTGTCCACAATTTATTTAGTAATAGAGAGATACAGAGGAATTACTTTCAAATAATTTTTTGTAATAACATAATCAGAGTCTAGTATATCACAAGTTATTAGCAATGGATGACGGTTCAAATAAAAATATTTAAAGCAAATAAAAATTTATATAAACAGTTATTAAAGAAGTTCCTTGTAGAGTTTTAATTAAATTATAGATTAGTATTAGTACTTATTCTTGCAAAGGATATTGAAATCAATTTATATAAATAAAGAATATTTTTATAAAACATTGTTTAAAAATGACTATTTTGATGTACCTTATAATAAAACATGCAGCAAATTCCATTATTCCGTTTTTATTCAAATATTGTACTATATCAACTATTAATTTGTTTAGGGCCACAGTCCGATGGCTATATGATGTACTTAAACAAAGGCCAAGATGATGAAATGCAATTTTGTTGCTACAAACGAAGTACCTTGAAAACTGCAATTGTTTACCTCAGTTTTGTACTTACCGGAGGCATACTTAGATTAATATTCCATTGGATTCCACATTGGTTTCTTTTGGCTACTTCAGAAAAGTGCAAGATCAATGAAGCCGAAATGCTACTGATAACGGTAAGATTTAAAATATAAGTCAATGATGCTATTTATAACAAGAATGAAAATAAAACTTGTATAAATGAAAGATTTTAATCACAAAAATTCTTTATTCTTAATGTGAAACACAGGTTACTTAAATAATGTTAAGGCACTGCATTGTACTGTTATCGAATATTTTATTATGAGCTTGACCCGAGGTCAGTAAATTTCAACAAAAATATTTGAATTTAACAGTGTATTGCCTTATCTGAAACTTGTCACATTCAAATTGATAATACTTATGAAATGTAATATATAGTATTTTATCTATGCATGTTTTCGTTTGTTTAACATTGGTATTTTTATGCAAAAATTTTCTCCATAGAAACTGCTCATTTGACCCTACCTTATTTATTTAATTATGTAAAGATGTCAATTTATAAGTGTATTTCAATTTCTACAAAATTGTCTTATTTATGAATAATCAGTTCTGGGGTTTTTAAGGGTGCTGGTCTAATTATTTTTTGGATCTTTCATAGAGGGCGCTAGTTATGCTACATTCTTATTACATTTTAAGTTCTAATTTTTTTAAGGTTAGAATTTTTACCATTCGGTAAATTTTTAATGTATAATTTTTTATTTTATTTTCTAAAAATAATGTCCTCTTGTTAGAACTTCCTAATGTGACCCTTAGAATATTACGGTGTATAAAATGAATTACTTTTCTCAAAATAGGCTTATGTCAAAACTTACTGATGGATGTCTCATAAGCAACGCATATATTCTTAGTAATATTTTAAATTCTAATTAACTTTATATCAAAATTTTAGTGACTGTAATTAGTCATTACTAACTAGAGTCACTAACAATCACTAAAATTTTTATATAGGATTAAGGATGTTCGATACTTCTCTTGCGGGGCAGGCGGTGCGGGAGGGAAGCCTATGCTTATACACGGTAGTTTCGTTGTAGTACCAACCTTACATAAACTAATTTGAGCGAACTAAATATAATATATATGAATGAAATTTATACAACACATATTAGCTTGCATATATTTTTTGTGTTTAATGCACGGCAATTAACTTTTTATTTGAATATAAGTGTCTATTTATTCATTAAGAGCTTGTAAAATTATGGATGAAATCTGGCATCATTGCCACTGCCATGGCGTGGTGGTAAAAGTTGGGTCAACTGTCATTACTGTCAACTGTGCTTTGCGCGTATTCCGTAAACATGAATGAACATCCAAAATACAAAGGAAAAGTAATGACTGAAAAGCAATATAAAATGTGTATGAAACAGAATGTGGATTGATGAGAAAAAAGTGATATGTCGCCTTGTCAAATTGAAGATTATGACAGAACATCTATACTGTTCATTTTGCAACGAAATCCTTTCAATTTTTGTTTCAAATTGCTATTATATTGCATTAGGTCACGAAAAATTTATTTACTATCAATTATGACTACACATGTCTTCGACTAGAATTATTATATAGTCTATAGTCGAGCTATTCAAATATAGCGCGTCAGTCGAAGCATTAAATACAGCGTACAGTATTGCCATATTTCATTTTATTGGATCAGATGTTTGTTCAAATTTGTCAAAATGTTATATATTTATTCCATTATCTCAATAATTACATTGTAAGTGCATATTTTTATTGTTTTAAAATGTTTAGTAATATTTAATTCTTTAATTAGAATTTTATTTTCCCCATCCTAACCATTTTTAAGAGCAATATTCACGTTTGATTAAAGTTTTTTCATAACTCCCATAAGAGCCTGTATATAAGAGCATAATTTTTAATATCATTTTTCAAAAAAAACTATATTGGCAATCGATCTGATATTTTTACACGAGCCAGTTGGCATATTTATTAACAGGTTTCAATGATTTTGAAACCTTTCTTACCATTTATTTTCCGGTATCGAACCTCCTTAATTAGAGTTTAAAATATTTCTAAGAATGTATGCGTTGTTTGTGATCAATAAGTTTTGACATAAGCCTACTTTGAGAAAAGTCACACCTTAATATTGTAAGAGTTCAATTATTAAAAGCCTTTTTTTTTGAAAACCGTCTACATTAGGAAGTTCTAACAAGAGTATATTACTTTTAGAAAATAAAATTGTACTTAGAAATTGGAGCCCGAATGGTAAAAAACCTAACCTTAAATAAATTATAACTTAAAATGTAATAGGAATGTAGCATAACTAGCGCCCTCTATGAAATATCCAAAAAATAATTAGACCAGCATATTTGGTATCCTTAAAAACCCCGGAATACAAAATGTCATAAAAATATTTCGCACCGTTTGGAAATTTTCATAAAAATTCTATTTAAAATTTTTTATTTTATCTGTATCTCGAAAACAAGAGGAGGTAGACATATAGTTGATATGACAAAAAATGCTTATTTTTTGTCCTACTATCACCCCATGTATTTACGGAAGGTCTTTCTGAAACACCCTGTATATTTTATTCTGGAGGCATGTGCTGTTATGTCTAAAAAACTGATTCCTTAATGTTAAATCTTGTATAGTTACAAGAGATGGTACATTTAAATTTTTATTTTAGGAAATTTACAATAAAAACCATAAAATTTATCATGTAAAACCATTGAAAGTATTGACTCCAGAAAATGTGGCAAAACTGCGAAATGACGACAATTTACTCAATCATCATCACGTTTTGGTTAGCGAATCACCTCCAGCTCTTTCCGTTCACTTTGAGAACGGACATTTTCGAGATCTCGACAAGTAAGTAGGAAATAGTGATTTTTAATTAATTTTCCTTGTCCTTCTTCCTATATATTTTTTTCTAACATGATTTTTTTTACTCGTTGCCTAAGCTTTTAACTTTAAAAGTTGTTTGGGTGAAAATAATATGATTTTCTTTATGCCATTTTTAATTAGATGCCTCTTTTAATATTGTCCTGGTTACAATTAAAAAGAAAATAGCTCTGTTGCTATCTAAAGACATTTTGTTGAAATGTTTGCACATATTTTCTCCCAAAGAATTTGTGGCTAAAGGATAGATTTACTTTTTTTGTTACGCCTTTAAAATTTCCTAGATTCTCCCGTTCCCTGCCCATTAACATATGATTCTGCAGAATTTCCCCAAAATTCCAAGAAAAAGTATGTATGCACGTACCATAAATGTATGTCATGTACTACCTTGGATTGGAACTTTTCAGGTTGTTGATGTTCTCATGTAAAAAGGTGACGTACATCTGGGACAATGAAAAGCAAGAATTCGTTAAATTAGTCGGTCTAGATAGAGGAGTATCTTGTGAGATATTCCACAAATACAAACCATTAAGTCCAAGTGAGCAATTCATGAGGTAAAAATAACGATAGGATAAAAATTTATTACGTTATCGTAATATTTTGATTTTTTAGGAGACTGGTTTACGGACCAAATAAGATTGTAGTAAAAGAATTGTCAATTTGCACCTTACTATGCCTCGAAGTTCTCAATCCTTTCTACATCTTCCAAATCTTAAGCTTTATATTATGGTTTGCCGATGATTACTATTATTATGCCGCCACTATTATGCTTATGGCCATGGGCGGCATCAGCATGTCGGTGATGCAAACAAGAAAAGTAAGTGGATTTGTTGTAGGTGTGATGCTGATGACAGATTTTACTTTTTAATTTTCTTTAGAAGGTTATAAATTATTTTTTGCTTGAAACTTCAGTTCCGTGTATTGTCCTAAGTCCATAGTTCATGATAAAGAATGCAGAAATTTTTATTTCTATTTTCATACAATTTATTTTCTGTGTCCGTTATATTAAAAATATTTTCTGAAGTTACTTATTTGTGTTTTACTTTTTTCTCCATTTATTTGAGTATTTATTTGCTTTTTAGAATCAAAGAAATTTGAGGTCTACTTGTCATAGCAGCGATGTATGTACCGTTCTGCGGCGAATGCCGAAAAGCAATTTGAACGAAGTCGATATGGCATACAAGAGTGAGACTATATCAACCGAGTACTTAGTACCGGGAGATATATTGGAAATACCCTCCCATGGGTGCGTTATGTACTGTGACGCGTTGTTACTTACGGGAAATTGCATTCTCAATGAATCGATGTTGACAGGTTTGTTTAAATTTAAAAATTGAGATTGTAGGGTGAAAATCTTTGTTTATTTTAGGTGAGTCAGTGCCGGTGACCAAAACGGCACTGCCTAATGTATCTAGCGCCGCCTACGATCCAAAGGAGCATGCGAGGCATACTTTGTTCTGTGGTACGCACGTTATACAAACAAGGTACTTTGGAAATGAAAAAGTGCTGGCAGTTGTAGTTAGAACCGGATTTTCGACAGCTAAAGGTTAGAACTATACACTTTTTTTATTAGCTTTTTTAACTTTACTTTAAAGGTATTGACACTATTGACTAAATCGAATTGTTTATAAATATTTTTCAATAAGAATTTGGATGATGCCAATAATTGAACATTTTTAATTTCTCGTTTTTTTATTTAATCAAAAACCAAAAGGGTTTTCTGAATTGAATTACAGTAATACCCCGAATGTATGCAATAAGTTGAACTAAGCGACAACCGTGTAATTCGTATTGCGTAAGTCGGGGTACAATTTTACATATGAGTTCATACAAGTTATGTTTAATAGGGACCAAAAACTAAAGAAAACAATAATTTAGTAGAAAAATGTATAATAAAATCTTAGAAAATACAACATGTTGAGTTATGGGGAGGGAAAATAATAAAATGTAATCTGAGTAAATAATTTTTAATGAGATTTTTATATAGCTTTTATAGCGTCACACTTAAGTAGACTGCATACAGACTAATACTTAATAGGACAAAGATAATTCGGTTTTTATATAAGCATTTCTGCTGATCAGCGTATTTAGCCACAGCGTCGGCCTTGGTGGAATAAGTTTAACTTAGGACTATAAACACCATTAACACGTGCTAAGTATACAGAGTGTTCGACTTATTTTATTTTGCGTTTATCCAATACAACAATTATGATTTGCGAAAATGTAATCTGAAGTTATTTTGAGATAGAAGGCTTCATAAAATGCAGCCAAGTCGTCTGACAAATCAGACTTTTTCTTCTCACACATAATTTTTTAATTCCTTGTCTTGTAGCAGAAAAGTGCTCTTCGTTGGAGTCTATGCTTTCTAAAATTTGTAATGCTTTTTCAATTGAACTGGGGCCTTCTGTCAAATTTGGAACCATCGTTTGATCTTCTAGTTGAACTGGATCTAAAAAATCCGGTTCTTCAATGTCTTGCTCTTGCTCTTGTATTTCTATAAGCTTATCAATTAATTGTCAGTTCCTGATTGTGTGAATCTAGTAGTTCTTGAACGTCATCACTATAATCTTCTATTTATTTGTCTGGCAAGATCAAAACTTCTTTAATCATATTACCAATTTCGTCAAGCTCTGGAACTGATTCCGTCGAGTTTCAGTGGTGAAAAAAAATGGACACTGATTTCTTCTTGTGAAATTTAATTTCAAGATTGTTAATGATTCTCATGGCACACAGTGGGGCAGAATCCCAAAAAGCTAGTCAGAAATAAAAATGTTTAGAAATCGATCTGAAATTTGTTACTCGGGGGTTTTCGGGTCGTTGATTACGAATTTGGGATCAAAATTACAAAATTCTATTTGGAGGATTTAATATAATGATATCAGAAGTAGAAAAATTTTGTAAACAGGGTTTTCCGAGTCGTAGATTAAGAATTTAAAGATAATATCACTCAAATAAAAAAATTGTTCATTAAAAATTGTTTATTTACAATAAAATAATAATTTTAAAAGAAATATAATTTCAGTAAGAACATTGTATTCCTTTTTAAACTGCAAATATTAACTAAAATAATCTCACATCTATCAAGCGCGAGAAAAATGTAAAAATGACAATTGACATATAAAACTATTGTATCGGAAATTGTGTATTCGACTCCCATGCCAAAGTTATAATATAAGATTTTTTTTTTTATAAAAAAAACATGAAAAATCTTCATTTGTAGCAGCATCAGCATCTGTCGAATCTTCTGAAGTTGAAACAATTTCCTCTTTATTCACAATTGTTTCATGTCTTACAGTTAGAGGTAATAATAATATTATTGCATCTGACGACAGTGATCTAAGTTGTTTCGTAGGTAGTTGCCTACAACTTGATGTATATGGATCTAATAATAATACTAGAAATCTTAAAAAAATATCGTCTACAACCTTTGTTCTCGAGTATTTGCCCTCACGATATGCTTTTTGGAGATGAACTTCATTTTACATTATATTTTACACAAACCTATATAAAAACTCGTTAGTTAGAACGACTGTCGATTTCGGTAGACTAAACTTCTGTGTGACTTCACAAATTTTTATTTTTGCATCGACGTCTTTGATAATGTTAAGTTTACATTCCAGAGATAATGTTTTTCCTTTTTTTTGATGCAAAAGAATCAGTTCTACTTCATTTGGCTGACAGTAGAGTCTGTTAAGTCTCCTTCATTATAAAAAAACACACAGTATAAATACATACCGAAACACAAAATTGTAAACTATTCTTCAACTGCGCGTGAAACATGTAAGTTGAACGCTAGTGTGGATGGAGTGGGGAAATAATAGAAGAATTGACGAGAAGATTTAAAAATCGTGTAACTTGATGGTAAACTTTTAGAGTTAATTTGAATTAATTCAATACCTTTATAGTAAAGTAACTACTAAAGGTTAAATGAGAACCTTTTGATTGAAACGAATTATAAATGAATTAATTTTTCTTTAAGGAAATTTGGTTAGAAGCATCTTATACCCCCCACCGGTCGATTTCCGTTTTGAAAAAGATTCCTACAGATTCGTCACCCTTCTGGGTTTCATCGCTTTCATAGGATTCATTTATACTGTAGTAACTAAGGTAATAAATAACGAGTAACTTATCATGGCGTTGTGATAACATATTTTCTCTTAGGTGATGAGAGGCGTGCACGCCAGAGACTTAATTTTAGAAGCCTGCGATTTGATAACAATCGTCGTACCTCCCGCTTTGCCGGCGGCCATGACGGTGGGAAGATTCTATGCCCAGATAAGGTTAAAGAGGAAAGAAATCTTCTGTATATCGCCAAGGACCATTAACGTGTCCGGCTCTATAAATTGCGTTTGTTTCGATAAGGTGGGATTTATAAAATTAATGCAATTAACTCGTGTAAAAATCAAATTTGTTTTTAGACCGGAACTTTAACGGAGGACGGTTTAGACCTGCTCTGCGTAGTTCCCATTGAAGAAAAAGGGTTTAGGATGCCAGTGAAGAATGTGGAGAGTTTACCTTACAATTTATTTGTTTATGGACTGGTTTCGTGTCATTCTTTGACGATAATCGACAAACAGATTGTGGGAGATCCACTTGATTTAAAGGTTTGTATGTGCTACAAATTTATCGTTTAGAAGATCTACCAACCACAGGTGTGTTAAAAGTGAAGGAGCGTTTATATTCATATTTAAGCATTTATAATTGAATGTAATGAAAATAACTATTATATGGGCTATATGCCTCGATTAGCATTGAACTACACCAGAAATATCCATTAAATACATCTACCGATGAAAGTGCTGAACCTCACTGTCCGTTTTGACGGGATTGGTGAAATCGATCGGTAGCGCGGTATGTTAAAGACACACAGGTTTAACATTTGTTCCGTTTCAACCCATTTATTTTTATTTTTCTACATAGTCTCCTTGTAAGCATCCCTTTAACCCATCCAAAGTACTTGGCATCTTTTTCTGTGAAATAATTCTTTACGAAGGTGGTGGCCTTCTCATTTGACGAAAATCTCTGTCCTCCGAGCGCAACTTTTAGTTTAGCGAACAAAAAAGTCGCTTTTAGCAGTTTAAACTGTAATTCGTGGGTGAGAGACGGCGCATTGTCTTGGTGAAACAAATTTTTTGTTTTTCACAAAAGAGGCTGTTTTTCCGCAGTATTAATGATGGGTAGTATGCTCCAGTAATGGTTTTTTAAAAACAGAATATTGCTGAAATATTTTTGGAGTTTTATTGATAAAACCTCTAAAAATAGTAGATGTTATATTTTATTATCTTTTTTCCATGTTTTCTATATCTTGTTGCCTTCTAAACTGATATGCCTATGGATTTTTGATTTCCGCATGCTTCGCCTCCGTACTAGTCGAAGAGCTAGCGATGCGTTACTCTCCATAATTACACCATTTGGTGATCTTGAACGATATTATCGTCAGTGGTTGTTGTTTTTGGATGTGCCGAACGTTCATCGTCTCCCAAGTTAGTACGGCCATTAAATTCAGCTGCCCAAACTTTCACACTCATATATGATGATGCAGAGTCCCCGTACACAGCGTCCAACTCGATTTTTTCCATTTCCACAAAAACACTCGCATCGACTCACCCATACGATTGGCAAACAACTGCCTGTGATGGCTGAAAATTTGGTGAGTATCTTTCAAAAGATGCGCAAACACAATCCCTATCTTTTGTTGATGAGTGCTGCCATCTTCATCTTGAGGTCGGAAACTTTTCAGACCACTCACATATAATAAATAGTTGCTTACCACAAAGTTATAGTGAGCCTTTCTTCTGCACCGATCGACCTCCTCAAAATTGTTACCTGTTTTGTAATGTAAGGTCGTATAACATCCAGTAGATTGTCAAAAGACTATCGACATTCGATAATATCCAAAAAATTTTCTTTGTATTTCCAAATTTCGATAAGATTTAAAAAAGCTCTTATTTCACTCATCTCTATAGTAGGGATGTATGCAAAATCTTCGTGACAGAGGATGCCGTAATAAGCGAGTTACTTCTAAACTGCAAATAATTTATGTCACCTTTTTGGTGCAACATCCTGACCCCAAGTATGGCAAGATGGGATAGTGTGGACCATCATTGTTTTGAGGAAGCATAAAAATTTCCAATTTTTTTAGTGATGTTTGAAAGCTTGTATCTTTGTGAATAATGGTCATATTGAGAAAATAAAAAAGAGCATTTTAAAGCTTGAAGATATTTTTGAGATGAAAAAATTTTTTGAGCATCACTCTCGATGCAGTTAAAAGAAAGTGCAAGGAAAAAATTTTACAATTTTTTTCAAAACTGCCCATGGGTTCAGAAATTTTTTTCAGGCTTAATTAATGCCAAGGTCATTTAGCCTGATTCCTCAGCTTCAATTTGGTTCCTTTTTATTTTTTTGATCATTAATATCTCATGAGATAATGATCGTACAGCGAACGGAAGGTGGGTTTTGGAAACTTCAATTAATCCTCTTCAAGGGCCTTTTGGTATGTACAAGAATTTTTTTTTATACTCCGTATTAATTTGAAAAAGTGCAAAAAAATGACTTTTTTGTGCTGTTTTGGAAAATCAATGATTACTTTGCAAATATTGTAAAAAGTACAAATGTTTGTATTTTTTTTAGCTCATGGAGCCTGTAAATTTTGAAATTGATCGGTCGAACCGTTTTCTTTTTCTGAATCGTCAAAATTTTATAAAAAATTAAAGGAGCAGGTTTATTGCTCTTTAAACATCAATCAATGATTATTAAGATGAACAAAAATGTTTTGCATTATTTTTTTCACAACTTCGTGTTACATACTTACTCATCAAATATAGAAAAAAAAAATTGTTTTTAATTCAATTTTGGAAAAAGAATTGCCGATATTTCAATGAGAAAAATTCGTATAGAAAATAAGAAACCAAATTGAAGCTGAGGAATTAGGCTAAATGACCCTGGCAAAAAAAAAATGTTTGCCTTGCATTATTTCTTTTAATTGCGCAAAGAGATGCTGAAAAAAGTTTTTCATCTCCAGAATCTTTAAACTTCAACATGCTATTTTTATTTTTCCGATACGATCATTATTTACAAAGTTACACCCTTTCAAAAATCACTAAAAAAATTTGGAAATTTTTCTGCTCTCTTAATGTTTTTGCTAAATGCATCCAAGTTTAAAATTCAATTACAGTGTAATCTGTTGTATGTTTTTATATTAGGCTTGCCTACTTGTGAATAAACTACAGGCTTAAAAAATATAATTGTACGCGGGAGCACAAATGGCTCCATCTGTCGTGCAGACTCCCAACTGTGCAATTCAAATGGCTACAGTAGGAAGCGACCTGCTATATTGCAGGTACTTGGTTGCACGACTGCCACCCACAGAGGATGTAACACAATGTTTGAGTTGTCAGTGTTACGAGAAACAACTACTCCGAGAGCTATATGCTCCCACCAGCGTTGAATTATACTCGCAACACCTAGTGCAACAGCTAGGATCGTTTGTCAGTTTACCCACCAGGCACAGACCGGTTTCGGACTTATTAGTCCTTATCAGTGTGTCATAGGTGCGACAACTGACAAATGACCCAGCTGTTCTTCGTCGTATCATCACAAAAAGGAAATATATTGTACGTGGGAGTGCAAATGGCTCCATCTGTCGTGCGGACTCCCAACTATGCCATTGAAATGGCTACAGTAGGAAGCGACCTGCTATATTGCAGGTACTTGGATGCACGACTGCCACCCACAGAGGGTGTAACACAATGTTTGAGTTGTCAATGTTACGAGAAACAACTACTCCGAGAGCTATTTGCCCCTACCGGCATTGAATTATACTCGCGACACCTAGTGCAACAGCTAGGATCTTTTGTCAGTTTACCCACCAGGCACAGACTGGTTTCGGACTTATTAGTCCTCATCAGTGTGTCATAGGTGGCGTACAATGTATTTCCTTTTCGTGATGATACGACGAAGAACAGCTGGGTCGTTTGTCGGTTGTCGCACCTATGACACACTGATGAGGACTAATAAGTCCGAAACTGGTCTGTGCCTGGTGGGTAAACTGACAAACGATCCTAACTGTTGCACTAGGTGTTGCGAGTATAATTCAACGCTGGTAGGAGCATATAGCTCTCGGAGTAGTTGTTTCTCGTAACACTGACAACTCAAACTTAAAAAATATAATTTCAATGTCTAAATATGAAAAATCTCATACAAGCTGGTATTTCCAAGTTGTGTCAAAAACAGTCATTTCTGAGCGGCTTAATCAATTAATTATTGGAAGTTCTATAAAAAATACCAAAAACTCTCTTATATTTCAGATGTTTGAGAGCACGAAGTGGGTTATGGAGGAACACGACGTCGCCGACAATAACAAATTCAACATGATTTTCCCTACCGTACTTAAACCGCCAAAGAACCGGCCTAGCTCCCAGCAAAACCTGGAAGGCCTACAGATCGGTATAATAAGAGAATTTCCGTTCTCAAGTAGCTCGCAACGCATGGGTGTTATCGTGAGACGTCTCAATGGCACCCATTTCGAATATTACTGCAAGGGTTCTCCCGAAATGATACTAAATTTTGTACGAAAGGCATCTGTACCCGACGACTTTCTGGACGTCTTGGAATCTTATACCCAAGAAGGGTATCGCGTCATCGCCTTGGCACATAAAGAGTTGAAACTGTCTTACGCTAAGGTTCAAAAAGTCCAAAGGGAGTCCATAGAGAAGGATATGGATCTGCTTGGATTGATAGTGTTGGAGAACAGATTAAAACCTGATACTACTCCTTGCATTCAGGCTCTTAACGACGCGAATATAAGAGTTATTATGGTTACGGGTGACAACATTTTGACGGCTCTAAGTGTGGCGAAAGACTGCGATATAGTCACGCCCTGTCAAAGCATAATAACCGTTAACGTCGACAATAGCCATCCTCCGAACTTATACTACACCTTGACGAACACGAAAAGTAAACAGTTGCCGACAGATTTGAGTGTTCTAACAAATTCTGCCAGCGTGATGAGTTTGGACACCATCGAAAGCCAGGTGCAAACTATAACCAATAGTAGCATGGTGAAGGCTGATCCCAAACGGCCGAGTTTGATGTTCAATAATTATCGATTTGCTATGACCGGAAGAGTCTGGGGTGTGGTGAAAGAGTATTATCCGGAATTGCTGCCTAGGCTTTGTACCAGAGGTAAGATATTTTTCAAAAAAATCTTTCTTAACTTTTTAACTACACAAAATGATTTTTTTTTACATTTCTATTCTAGGTAATATTTTTGCAAGGATGGGTCCTGATCAGAAACAGCAACTAATTCAAGAGTTGCAGAGTTTGGGATATTGTGTTGGTAAGTTTGATTCATACTTTCTTTTTTTTTTTTCAAATATTCATTAAAAAATAATAATAGTTTCATGTTTTACATAAATGGCACTACATTAAGTTACAGCGCTATATACTCCTTGTGATACTTTAACTTTGAGAAATTTACTTGTGTTATCATAAAACTTTGATTTCTCATTCAACTTTCTGAAAAAAAAAGTAATCAGTTTCACAGCTATTATGTCTATGGATAAACCTGTACAAATCATAAATAATTGCTTATTTATATTTTTCGAATTTTATGTGATAGCAAATGTTAGGCAACCAAATTTACACCATTGGTAATGATTAACACAAAATTCCCTAGACACGCTTAATGTTGGTGGTGTGCATATTTCTATTTTCTTTTATAAAAATGCCTGCAAAATGCAATGTTTTCTCTTAAAAAATCACTCATTTATTAATGTTACAGTTAAATTGCAAATAAATATAGAGATTTGGACAAATACTACCAATTATACAGGGTGGCCCAATTAAAACAGCACCTGAAATATTTTCATTGCAATAGGTTTTTCCGAAAAACCCTGAAATAGGTTGATTTTGCTTTCAAGGGGGACAACTTTTCATCATAAATTCATGGATGTAGGGTCATCCCCCTAAACGGGGTGGCAACCCCTTCAAAAATCTTAAATCGCATGGGGGGTTAAGTGGCACATCGTTTTAAAGGTATTTCAATTCTCTTTACAAACATGCTAAAAATTTTTTGTTCTGCCTGAAAATTAATGTAAAGAGACTGTTGGAATTGTCGGTGAAAGAAGTCAAGAAAAAAGTCTTGAAATAGTAATAAAAAACTCATCGGATAATGAAACTGAAAAATAAGGTTTATCATCGAAGTCTTGATCAGGTCATGGGTTTTATTAGAATTTTAAATGTAGTTTTGTTCTGATTTTACATCAATCAGAATTGTCTAGGTAATGAATTCCATTGATTTGTTATTATTCGCTATTTTGAAGCAAACGATTCAAATTATCATGGCTTACAACACTGCAGAGAGAATTGAAATTAAAATGTTCGGGAAAATGTTGAATATAGGTTTTATTGTATTTTAAATGGGTTGTAATTTGAACACTTAATTAATTAAAATTTGTTTGAAAACTTTTTTTTTTGGATTTATTTCACTGACACCTCCAACAGGTTTTTTACATTAATTTTAAGGCGGAACAAAAAAATTTTCGCATGTCTGCAAAGGGAATTGAAATACCTTTAAAATGATGTGCCTCTTAACCCCGTGCCATTTAAGATTCTTGAAGGGGTTGCCGCCCCGTTTACGGAGATGATCCTGCATCCATGAATTTTTATGATCGAAAGATGTCCCCCTTGAAAGAAAAATCGACCTGTTTCGGGGTTTTCCGAAAAAACCTGATGCTTTGAAAATATTTCAGGTGGACTGTTTTAATTGGGCTAGCATGTACAGGTTCGGAAAGTACCGATGGTCCATCTGCCGTTACGTGAGAGCGATAAAGTAAGATATAGAAATCCATGCGATAGAGAAGGATGGCTATAATGAAGGCTTGTCTTAGTCACCGCCCGTTCCGCCCTTCCACAAATAAGATCCACTTCTTATTTGTGGAAGGGCGAAATGGGCGGTGACTATTAGACGCCTTCATTACAGCCATCTTTCTCTATCGCACAGATTTCTATGACTTACTTTATCGCTCTCAAGTAACGGCAGATGGACCATAGGTACTTTCCGACCCTGTATAATGTATACGAGTATATAATTCTAAAATTGCAAGTGTCTCTCAAATATTAGGCCCAAGTTTCTAGACAGTAGTTTTTATAACTTTTTGGAAATTCAAATTCTGTTGAAAACTATGTTTGAATATATTTTTTCTGATTTTAATACCAAAACCAAAACCTTCTGCACAACAATGTGATGCTTTAGTAGTGTTTTACTGGCATTCACTGTAGATTAACAGCGTATCACGAAACCCATTGTTGTCATACATATCATATAATGATAGCTATTACTACTAATTTAATCTATGTACATTCTAACACAAATTGTCTAATCTCTAACACGACAAAACTAAATTCTTAGTTTTCAACATCACACAACATGACACTGTTATGTAGACGCATGGCATGACTAGGGCACAAGTAACAACCCGCCCTAGAGGATGTAATTTTTAAATGTAAATGTCTGTGGTCAATGCTTAGCGGTTTTGTTTTTTGTGGTGTACTAGTTGCTACCCCAGTTCGGAACCCGCTAATTTTCTTAAAGAGGTATATGGGTTTACTCAAATGCACAGATTTACTTGAAATTTTTTTTGAATAAATTTTGAGATGTTCAAAGTTGTACATTTTAACATAGGTTTATATGACGAAGATGAACGGTGCTGCTCATTTTTTGCCCATAACTGAGAAAAAAATGTAGAAATTGTGAAACAAATTTTTTCCATAGATAGTACATAGTATTATCTTATTTTTAATGTAAAACTGATGTAAGTTTTGAAGATAGTACAGTTATATTAATTAGAAACAGAAACCAATAATTGCATTTTTCTCTGACTTCTGACTTGAGGATTAATGTGGCAACATCGCAATCAGCTGACAGCAAGGAGGGAATACATTTGAAAGACTTGATAAAAACGAAATTGATTTCAAACATGCACATTTTTCCTAAATCCCATCAACAATAAATTAACCACAACAGATTATTTTTTGTAATGTTTTTAAAAAAGTAGATTAATTAAAAAAGACTAGGAAGCTGTGATATATTTATTGGAATAAAAAATACAGTTGATAAATCCTTTTAATATATTATATATTATTATAAAAACATCGTAATCATTACCCAGCAATATTTAGGGTTATATAAAGGTTTCTTTACTTGATTAACATAATTAGTAATACTTGAGATAAAAGCATTTGTACGGAATAACAATGGACATAAATATTTCTCAGCAAACTTTATATCTAAAAAATTAGTTATAGTTGCAAAACTTTTGTAACATTACTAAAATAGAGATTAAAAACACTAACAGTGAGTAATAATTTAATTTCTGTCACAGAACCAGGGAGACTAGTCTCCATGCACAGAACCTTCAAAATTGCATCCAACATTTTCTTTGACTTGGACGAGAGATGGGCGCGAGTGTCATTTCATTTCTTTAGCACTAACATAATTCTCGTTGTTTTACCAGTTCACATGATTTACGGATTTTAAATAAAGGATACAAATCTTCGCGAGGATAATACGATATATTTGCTATATATAATTAATTATTATATTGTACATAGTTTACACACAATACATTTTTGAACGCGTACGCGTCTTTACCCGAATTTGATGCGCAATATCTCTGATGTCCGAGGTCTGTAGGTTCGCAGTGTGTACAACTGCTAGTCAATTATTAGCGCTGTTACCACATCTACATAGTCTTTATGCGTTATATTATTCTTTTGCAACTATCACATGGAAACATATTTTCTGCTTTGTCATCATTACATTTTGAGCATGTCTTCATTTTTAATAAACAGAATAAAAATTCACAAAGCCGGACCTGGATAAACTTCACAAAAAAAGTTGTTGTTCCGTTATCGCTATCTCATAACTTTTTCCATTTATAAACAGACAAAAAAAGAACAGCAGTGTATGATTTAAATGCAATTTTCTCACTACAACCAGTTAATCTCCAAGTAACTACACTATGCTTAAACAGGCCGTTAAACAATGTATCCAATGATATAAGTTTTGTTGTATTTAAATCATTATTACCATCAAAAAAGAAAAGAAATTTTGACAAGAAACCAGAGCTGAACTATACACTCTCACTATATATTGACTAGTTTGGTCAAACTTCTTTAGCCAAACAATACGCTGATTGGTTTTTTATTAACTGTATTAAAACCTGACCAATATTCCCAATCAGCTGATTGGGCTGACCAACGAAATATTTGTCCACTGAACGACTTTGACCGGTCCGACCATTCTCTGAACACAGCCTTTATTAGACAAGCTTGGAGTAACCGCAGTTCATAGATCTTTTCATGTGACTGGACTCATACTGAACTAATGTCAGTATACTAGTAAATAAAAACAAAAAACCAAAAAACAAAACCACTAAGCATATTTTGATTTGAAAGATTATTTATTAAATTTAAATTAAAAAAGAATAAGTCAAGCATTGACCAGTTTGGTATTAAAAAAGTTGTAATAAAGCCTTTCATAAATTATATATTTTTTTTATACCTACAAGTAAATGTATATTTCATATTGTATAGTTTCCCTTTGATTTGAGATTTTTAATAGTTGTTTCCCTTTCAGCTATGTGCGGAGACGGAGCCAACGATTGCGGCGCTCTAAAAGCCGCCCATGCCGGAATATCCCTGTCAGAAGCCGAGTCATCCGTCGCCTCACCCTTCACTTCCAAGACACCTAACATCACCTGCGTCTTGAACGTCATAAGGGAAGGCCGAGCTGCTTTGGTAACGAGTTTCGGTATCTTCAAATACATGGCTGCTTACTCTCTATGTCAGTTCATATCCGTACTTCTCCTGTACAGCATCGAGTCAAACTTGACTGACATGGAATTTCTGTACATCGACCTGGCGATGATATCGATTTTCACTTTCTTCTTCGGCCGCACCGAGCCTTACCAAGGAAAATTGGTCAAGGAGACTCCGCTTAGCAGTCTGATGAGTGTCAGTCCCATCCTGAGTTTACTTTTGCAAATATTTTTGGTTGGCGTTTTCCAAGTGGCTTCGTTTGAGCACTTGAAATCTGAGCCTTGGTATGTTCCTTTCAATTCAACCGAAGAGGAAGACGTGGCTTGTGTTGAAAACTACACTTTATATACCGTCTCCAGTTTTCAGTACATAATTTTGGCTGTGGTATTTTCCAAGGGGCCTCCGTATAGGAAAAACATATTTACCAACTTTGGGTTCGTGTTAAGCACGATGGTGATGACGGCGATTTCAATTTATCTCGCTTTAAGCCCAGCGCAGTTCCTCATCGACCAGTTCGAGTTGGTTTTGCCGGAAGACTTCAATTTCAGGTTGTTCATGCTGGTGTACGCCGGGGTTAACTTCGTTCTAAGTCTCCTAGTGGAACACTTGCTAATCGAACAACTTATATTTAAAAAGTTGAGGTTCAAGTTCCACAAAGTGGATAAATCTAAGCGTAAATACCTCGCCGTTGAACGGGACTTGAACAGGGACACGAAATGGCCGAGCTTAACCTCCGATTTCAAATCGGCCGCGAGTCCGATGAATCCGCTTCCGATTTGTACAGCGGAAATAGTGATCGAGAAGGAAAACAAATTCGACAAGAACCACGTGCTGAACAAACTGTACGAAAACTCCGACAGCCCGTCTAGGGCCAGCTTGTACAGCCAGAAGGCGAACAATACCAGTGCTTTAAACTCTCCCGACCACCAGAAGTTTGGCCTTAATTTCGCCCCGGGTTCTCCGAATGTCCAGCCTCAATTTCAAGTGAACGGCGTTGTGCACAACGAGACGGGGTATTTCAGCCAGGAAGACTTGCTGTTTTCCAGCCTGCCCTCGGAGAGTTTGACTAGTCAGAGCGAGACGTTCAAGAGTTTGAGCAATAACACCAACTACGATTTGGCGAGTTCGCACTTGAACATCGCCGAGTTGCCTTACGACAGCGTGAACCACTCGCCTGTTGTTTCTCCCGTTAAGGTTCTGAATTCTCGTCACGACGTGGAGAACGACGGGAGTTTATCCAATTTTAATTCGTTCGGTAGAAGTCCCCCGCAGAACGTAGAGAAGCTTAAGTCGGTAGAAATGAATGTTTTAGATACAAATAGGTGAGATACGGCACAATTCCGAAATATAAGAATTCTGTTTGCAGCTGCTAGGTGACACTTATTTTAATTGACAGATTACGCAATTTAAATTTTTTGTACACGATTTTGTATGCATTTCGTACAGTATTATTTGTTGCACTTGTAGTTCTAAGGAATCCACCTGGAAAATTTTGGTAACAAGGAGAAAAAATATAGAAATTATCGAATAAGTAATGTACGGGATTGGTACCGAGCCCTTTCAAACTAAATTATTGACAGTATACAAAAATAAAATAAAAACAAATTATAAAAAAAATTCTCTATTTTGAAAAATAGGAAAACATAAATGCTTTAATATCATACAAATCTGAATATATCAAGAATTTTTACGCTAAAACTAACATCCAACGAAGCAACAGTAATTTAGTTTAAAAAGGCTGATTCCAACAACTTAGGGGGGAACATCCGAGTATACAGCGGAAGAAATAGATGAACTTTAGGAATTATTATCTCAAAAACTATCTGTTCGATTTTATCCAGGTTTGTTTTATTCGAAAGTATACATGTTGAATAGGGTGGCCCAAAAAAACGAATATTTTTTTTGTCTTGTGAAAATATGTTAGTTTATCATGTTTTAAGAGCCCCCTCAAAAAATGAGCTCAAAAAAAATTTTTCTCAAAATTTTTAAAAATTTTCAAAATCGTGAAAAATAGAATTTTTTTTTAATTTTTTTTCTTGTTATTTTATCATTTTTTAGGTTGAAAAAAAATCTTGAAATGTTTTCAAGCGACCTCTAAAAATAAATATTAACGAACTAATAATTTTTTTTATTGAATTTGATGAACAAAAGAATAGAAATAAATCACGACACTTAAAAAATTTCTCGAGGCAAAATTTACTACCACTGCGAGTATCAAATATTTATAATTTTTGATTGATTTTCATTTGTTGATCAAATTCAATAAAAAAAAATTATTAGTTCGTTGATATTTATTTTTTAGAGGTCACTCGAAAACATAGGTACACAACTTTGAAAGTTAATTATGAGTGATCTTTAGAAATTAAAATATCGATTTGAAATTTTCTGAATCGAGATTTTTTCAACATAGAAAATGATAAAATAATGAGAAAAAAATTAAAAAAAAAAACACCGAAAAGTTCACTTTTCATGACGGTAGGACAAAAAAAATTCACGAAATGGTTGATTGAACTTTACCTTCATTTTTCAATTTCTGATTTTTTCGGTTTGATAAAAAAAATACGGGGTGATTCACAAACATTGACCAAAAATTAAACCTCTTATTCTTTGGAGAATTTTAAGGAAAGTCTTTCATATAAAATTTGTATCTAGGGCGCTTCGTTAAAAAGATACAGGGTGTTAAACTAAAAAAATATTTCAAATTTTTTTAAATAATTTAAAAACTAGTAAGAAATAATTTGAAATTGGGCATGTGTTTATGTAAACAAAATTTAAATACTCCAGTGGCGGAGATGCAGGGTTTGCTTTTAAGTTTACTCGAAAATCAGGCTTTTTCGAAACACGTAAGAGGGTAGTAATTTGGTGAAACGTGAGAGACAAATCCGAAAATATCATGATTGTTACTGTAAAGCGTACCATTTTATTTAGACAATTATGCCACCGATACCCTGTATCTCGGCCATTGGAGCATCTAAATTATAGGAAAAGGCCTTAGACTCTGGACAATATTTACATAAATACATGTGCCCTTGACCTTGAATGACCTTTTCAATGTTGCTACTCTTTAAAAAAAAATACGAGTACTGTGAAAGTTTTGACCATTGAAATGGGGAGGTAACTGGAGAAAACTACCACCCAGTATATCGATTTGACTAAAGCTTTAATTTTAATGTGATCGCTAAAAGGGTTATGAAGTTATTAATTAAATTAGTTTTATTTTTCACAACTTTGAAGGAACTCGAAAACTAAACATTTTTTATTTAACTTTGTTTTCGTATATCGTATTTATTTATCGTCGTGAATAGGCAGTCAAACGTTGTCGGTGAAATTTGCGGACACCCTGTATATAATATTGAGAAAATTTTCTTTTTTACTTTACCGTTAATCTGCAGTTCCTGGACCATAGAGTAGGCCCTTCGCAGCATCTTCTGCAATGATCTGTAAGTGTCCACTGAATCCTCCCTTCACGGGTTGCATTGTAAGTTTTGTTTTTGGTACACATGGTACGCATGTGTTCTGCATCTTTGATCTCACAATGCTGATCAGTGTTTCTTCCTGCGTTAATGCCTAATGCATTTCGGTAAATTGCCCATAACTTTCACAGTTATTGGAATATTAATACAAAATTTACACACAATATTGAAAAAAACATTTTTTTCTACTCGGATATACCCCCTTAACTTTTTATATAATTTTTAAAGATTCAAAATACAATACTTCGTTACTTAATTAGAATACAATTAAAATTGGATATAAATCAATTATATACTTAAGTAGGACGTTTAAGATAAATTAAGTAGTCAAAAAAAAACAAATTTATTCAACAAAGAATTAAATTTTATGAACATTTTTTAGGAAGTATATTGCCTTATTTAAGGATTTAAAATATCCGTTGGGTATTGATTAATATTTTTAGAGTTATAAGCAAAAGATGACATTAAAAGTCAAGGTAAAAAAATTTGTAGAATTGATTTCTTACCATCATAATTAAAAATTGTATCAACCTTGGTAAAAAATCGTAATTCATTCAAATATATACAGTGTTTCATAATGATGTGCAAATATTTTAAGGAGGTGTTTAGAAAGTAATTTTAGGGGAGGTACTTGCTATATATTTTTTGGATTTGAGCCCTCCCTGAAAGAATATTCAAATCTAAAATATTTGCACATCATACACCCAGTATATAAAATGTAAATACGATGTTCTAATTCCCGGTAAATAAGCAACTCTCATGAAAATTTGATTTCTTTTAGTGCACTGATAAAAAAAATTATTTCTTTAATACTACAAATTATAGATATTTCAAGTTATGTAAAAATTTAAATTTTGTCGCTTGATCGAAAACAGATTGTTATGTCATTTAGTGCTGACTAAGAACACAATCTGCTTCTATATAATCTTTTTAAAAATACATAAATATTACAGGGTGGGCGTGCTACAATGTTGAACTAATCTAACAAACATTTTCTTATCGGTACTTATAAATTGGCGTAATCTATCTGATATCGTCTTTTTTGCTCCTGGTGATATTAAAATGACACGTCGCTAAGTTATACAAAAGTAATGTTTTACAAAATTATTTTTTCAATGTCACAGCCCACAGATGCCAGATCTCCGGGTTTTGATGGTATATATTCGGGTTCCGGGTTAACATGTCATTTCTCCGGGTTTTCTGGAAAAATCGTGTTCGATTCCGTTTTTTTTTTGACATCAATTATTTCCTGCAGGTCTGTCACAACCACATTTTCATACATACATATTTTCCTGATTACGTCAGTTTTTTTTTTAGAGATCGATTTCTTCGAAACCAATTTGTCTCCCAGATTTCCTGAGACCTTTTTTGTAGGCATCAATTATACAAACGGGTCATGTCTCCAGGTCTGTCATGAAATAGATCTGGTAACCCAAACACCCGTTGCACACATGCCGGAACCGGCTAACCGGATCCGGTTACCCGGCAGCAAGGTGTACAGAGTCTTATGGCAGCTTTCACACGTGACGGAAGGAGCTATCCGGTCGCCACCACTGCCAGCACGGCTGCCGTGTACCGGCTAACCGGTGACCGAAGCGGTATAGTGCATAGTTTTGTATTGACGTTTTCACACTTGCCGGGTGCTTTTCGGATTCAGTCGACCGGTTTCATTGAAAAGAACAGGACGTGTCAATTATTTTTTTAAATATTTGTATGCAACTATATCGAATGTTTGTTCTCTAGAAGTAGATATTGTATTCTTTATATCAGACCTGTCCAGTGGTACAAAAATTTAGCTTTTTTCATATTTTTTGTTTTTTTTTATTGCGACGACATCGGCAATAGCCAAGCCACATAATTGCAATACGTCTACGATCCATCTCTTGTGATAAAAATGCAACTGAGACTAATATCGGCCAAACCGGCTTGAAAATTAAATTACGTGTGAAAGAGCCAGCCGGACCGGCAAGTGTGCAACGAGGCTAACGGTGTACCTTACTTGCTTTTACATGTGCTTCTTCTTTCTTGTTTAATATGCATGTTCTTCTTAGCAAGTGCCAGAAATTAGCGAAAAGTATAATATAAAAATATATATGAGGTTTAGCTGAATGAAGATGAAACTAATTATTACTTACTAATTATTAAAATAAAGTGAAAAAAAATTAACAAAACTACTTAATTACATGGAATCTAGTCTTATCCAACTGTCCGGATTTCTACTAATAATTTAATTTCATCTTTTTTTAAGTTTATATTTTCAAATCAAAACTTCAAAATTCAAAACTGAACCGATATTTTACTTAAATAAGGTATATTTGAGAAAAAATTAGAGGAAAATTGAATGAAATAAGTCACGATAAAATTGTGACTTATGTGTGGATTCTGATAGGCCAATCTTTATACATAGCTAAAGATATTTATTTTATTTATATAGTTGTAATTTAATTTTTCCAAACAGTCTTCCACTTGTTGAGAATATACTTACCTTTTACTTAATATTTTATATAAATGTTTTGATAACTGATTTTTTTAATTGACAGTCCAAATTACTTAAATTACATAATTATATTCCATAATATGTGAATCCTTTAATTGTAAGTGCCCAAGAAATAATGAAAATTGTTTAAAATAGTGATAGTAGATTTAGCCATTGTGATGTCTGAGTAGTAGTTTTAAAAGTAATGGTTTTATTTGTTGGTTCTACATGTATGATTAAACTAATAAATTGGAATTTTTATTAAAAGATGCCTAATTTGCTTTACCTTCTACGATTTAGCATCATTCCAGCAGAAATTCAACAATACTTTCATAGCAAAGGGTGCAACCGTGGCAATACAATACTGGATTTTTCAACTTAACATTGTGATTCAGTCATAATGTCATTAATTTTAACCACGTATTCGGAAGGCTTAATAAACGGAAAATTGAAGAAAAAAATTTACCTGACCTTTAAAAAAAAACAAATTACCCCTCAACTCGCGTTAATTTGGCGCCTACTGCCCAACACATTTTATGGCAGCGAATATGCTGGCGGATTAGAGTTAGAAACCTTTCGAATGTTGAAAGAAACAGCCGTCATGCGTGTTTCTGCAATTGATTTCAAAATCAAAGTGCAGCGGATTCAAACTTTAAGTGCCATGGACGAATGAGTGTTTTTTCAGGCGTAGTAGCATTTCAAATGGGTAGGTACCATTAATCTTTAAATTAGTCAGTTTTATAATTGAGTTTTTAGTATTATGTTCAATTATTTATTTAGTTTGTTGTAGGTACTGGTACTTCATAATTAATAATACTACAAAAACTCAAATAATTATAAAACAGTGAAAACTTTAACAATATTAAAGTTAGGTTAGTGACCGAACAGTACGGTAGATCAAGAGCAGTTGAAAAAGGGGTTTCGTAATGATTAAAAATATTTTTTTACAGTATAAATATGCATATCAAAAATTTTTTAAACACGTATTCGTATTCTACTTATTTTTCCATATCTTCCCTAAAAATTAGTGATATCACTGAATCACCCTGTATAAAAGCAAATTGCTATTTAAACTGTTAGCGTACAATTGTCTCAAAGGATAGAGCAGTGGCGACTCATATGAAGCAACTACAATTTGGCTCTCATACCATATATTTTAATACCCACTATTCTATTAATCTAAATAAACAGTTAAACTTATTTCCAGTTACCTATTCCTATTACATTTATCGAAAATCAAAATAACGATAAAATAAAAATTGTTTCAATATCTCGCTGCTTCCAGCCACGCAGCATGAGATACTGTTACTTCCCAGTCTCCCCAACACAGTGAAGCCGCACTCGATAAAGAATTTTTTTTTTGAAAGCAGATTAATAAAATAATCGAATAGTTGCATATATATTTATATTTTTTATAAAATCTGAATGAAAATCCTTCTTGTGAACATCAGTTTTTTGACAATATTATAAATGCAACTAAAAATGTCTGTATTAATTTAGTACTTTGACCTTGAAAAAAATTTTGCTTGCGGCACTTTCCCTTTTGGCCATTTAGTAAAACAGTCACGGGCCTCACCTTATTGTAATGTCACGAGCCACCACTGGGATAGAGTAGAACCATTTTGTGTGGACTAAAAAGGATATTAACGTTGTGTACTTTAAAATGATAAAAGTATTATTACTAAAATATAAGTTTGCGGTTCGAAAAGTTTAAGTCTGACTAATTGTCTATTCTCTCAATGCTGTATATTTAAGATACACAAGGCAAGAGGCCCATTTAATTCTCAATATTGTCTACAGTTTTGGAGAAGCTCAAGCCATCCCTAGTAAGGAGATATGGTACTGCTAGATCTAAGAACACATCACAAAAAAGACAATGTGTTATTTAAACTGTTATAATAGGATAATAATGTAATAACCAGGAAAAACACTTATTTAAATCTTAAGGTATTGATTGCAAGGCGTCAATTGTGAAGCCATTTGGATCCTAATGGCCTACAAATATCAAATCCATTGTATGTCCCAATGGATTTATTTACAAATGCCATAGCGTAAAAATGAAGATTTAAATTTATACAGGGTGTCCCGGAAATGGTGGGCAATCTCTCGGATATGGATAGATATTGAGAAAATAATGTCACAAGTTCATATAAAATTTTTTCCTCCGGGCTCACCCTATAGAGTTATTAGCTCTTGAAGTTGAGAATTAAAAATGTTTTTTTTTGCTGTAACTTTTGTATTTTTCAATAAATTTTGAAAATTTTTTGGCTGGATCTATAATTTTTGAAGCTGCTTTGGATGATAATATGAAATCCTCGATAATAATTATGAGGGCCCGGGGGCAAAGCACCCCCCACCAAAATTTCTAGAAAAAAAATTTTTGTTCCCCTATACCCCAAATTTTCCATCAATTTATAAAAACTTATGGTATTTTATGTAAAAAAGGTATACCTGTTGAATATCCATAAAATAGATATTTTTTGAGATAAACCCGTTTAAAGAGGAAGGTACCATTTAATTTGAGGTCTTTGGGGTCAAGAAAACTTCATGTTATGTAGAATCATCACACCAAATTTCATCAAAATCGGTTCAATAGATTTTGCATAATAATTTTGCACAGCAAAAACCAAAGCCCTTAGATACTTAATTTAATCACATATAGAAGGGCTTTCAAACGCTTTTTGAGAAATTCGAATCCGTCAATTAGGAGAGCTTTGTCACTTGTTTCATGGGTCGAATTTTTGTACTTATGAACAATTAGAATAACTTTGTGAATATTCAAGCAAATCAAATTTTTTAAAATAGGTTTTAAAAGTTTTTGGAAAAACGCTTCTTTAAAAAAAAACAGATCGAGTGGTCAATTAATTACGTAATTATAACCAATCAAAGTTAACCGTCATTTACACTAAATGTACTGGGACATCCGGGCTAATCTTTTCTAGTGATATTTGAAAGCCAAAAATCTCCGTGGATATACGATTCACCCAAATATGGACTTTTTGAAACAGATACCATCTGGACTACGGTGATGGTTGGTGAAAACAAGTGGTCATAATTCGATAATAAATCGTGGAACCCATGTTATTTTTATAGTCCAGTCATTGAACGTAAAATATGGCGTTACTGTATAATTTTCCCAAACAACACCAATTTGCACCAAAACTTGGGTTAAGGTTCTACTTACCCTCTACTTCAAAGTTGACCCTGTGCCGGGGGTTGCTTTTTATTTTTTAGGGGCGAAAATTACCTCTATTCGAAAATAATTATAGAATTGTAGATTCGAGCGTGTAATAGTTTGAAATCATTTTTAAATAAGTAATTATGATGAATTGAAAATTGTCCACCCCCTATGACAGTAATCATTAAAAAATAATGTTGAAAAATATTCAACAACTTGGAATAATTTAATTAACGTGATATTAAATTAAGATTTATTTACTGTTTTAATTTTTTATTATTTATTTATAAGTTTCAACCCTTATAAAAACCACCCCTTGCAAAAAAAATCGAACAGTTAAAAAAATTTTTTAGTTCAAAATATAATACATTATATTTTTTAAAACCTTAAAAAAAACATACTGATTAAAATTTGTAATAAAAAAATAAGGAAAATAAGAATTTTATTTTTATATGAATTTTAATTCTTTTATTTAAAAAAAAAAAATTTTTTTTATTGCAAGTAACAAATAATCAAAAATCCTCTTCACTCTCGTCTTCCTTTTTCTCTTCGTCCTCATTCCTTTCCATGTTCGCTTCATCCTTCTCTTCCTCCTTGACCTCCTCTTGGTCAATAATTGGAGCACTATTTAGACAAATGTCTCCGCTGCATGCTTTTTGTTTTTTTATAAACTACATTTTTTATAAGAATGATTTTCTTAATAAAATACTTACTTTTTGAGTTATTTGTGAAAAACAGATTGTAACAATGCAGTCGCCGCGTTACAGGTTTGTTGAGCAATGAAGTAAAGTGTTTTACTGAGATTTAGTTAGATGACTGGTCAAACTTACAGTTGAAAATATTAGATGGCGACATTTCCATAAAATCTCCGCCACCTTGATTTATTGTGTAAATAAGATGATCTAGTTTTTTATTTTTAAGTTTAACCTGTTCTCTGACGATAAATATAAGAACAAGGATATTACAAAAACAACCTGATTTTGCTGATTATGGTTTTAGTCAAACAATAATGCAAAATAAAGTAAAAAATACATTACTCTTTTAAATAATTTAGTGAAAGATCATTAACAAGAGCATTCACGGTACATATTTACAAAATACTCACTGCAACATCTGTGAGAATATACACAGTACAATACTTATAGAAAAATATAAAGTGTATAATTTATGTCGACAAGCCTCTCGTTTTACGTCTGATCCTAGCGTACGGTCCGACATCGGGATCCATAACAAAGTCGTACAGAACCGCCGTCCAACTACTGTGCTGAGGTAAATCATCATAAAATTCGGGTGCTATTCGCTTAACCTACAAAAAAAAAATTGGAAATGATTTAAATGAAACCATTTTTATCAGTTTTACCTCTGGTAAACGTGACCCAGGCACAGCCGGAAAATCATGATGCTCATTATGATATCCCACATTGAATGTAATCGCATTTAACGGACCGTAATAACTATAGGTTTCGTAGCCCTTTTTGAACATGTAATGTTCACTAATAAAATGCCCCGCGACTGGGTGTAGTCCCATCGCCATAATCGAGCCGAAAATCAAGTAGCCCAGAATGCGTGCTCCTACAAAAAGATTATATAATCACAAATACAAATTAATGTATGTTTTCTTACCAAAACAGTAGACCACAAGTGCATCAAAAATTACTTGAATCACTGCGTTGATTAATTCCAAAACTGTAGGAGGTTTTGGGTAGGTTACTAAAGGCCGAAAACTGTAGAAAAATGGTTGCAGCATTACCCAAATAAATTTTCCGAACGTTGTGCAGAACAGCTTCGCTTCGAGGTAGGTCGGAATATCTGTATCTCTCAGTTCATCTCCTTGATACTAAAAAGAGAAACTGATATTTTCACTTTTTAAAAACATACTTTTCATATTATTTGAACATTTGATCTTGTGAAAAACTTACTCGGTGATGTTCAAGGTGATACTTCTTAAAACTTATCGATATAGGTATGCCGATGGGTAGGTTTGCAAAAAATCCAAACAGTTTATTATGTAGCGGTCTAGCATGTCCAAATGCTAAATTGTGCGATATTTCATGAATTGCTGAAAAAAAAGTAGTACTATTGAAAATGTAAAAAGAAAACAACATTTATCTTTTATTCTACCATATTTATTATTATTATTTCATGTAGGAAGCCCAACTTTATTTAATCACAAAGAGATTTTTGTAGAAGTTGCAAAACATTTTTTTTTTACTACCATAATTATTTTAAGTTCACATAAGTTGTAAAATCTAACTTTTTCACACTGTGTCCAAATATTTTATACACTGTCGTGAAAAAAAAACTAATGTCTAGATATTTATTTTGAGATTTTCCTCTATTTATATGTGTTTTTCATCTGTGAAACAAAAATTGAATAATGAATTAACCAACCTTCTACCAAAAGGATCACTTATAGGGTCTTTTCACAAAACTTTAAGGACTGTGAATTATTTTGAGAAATTTACGAGATGGCGTAACTTATGCTACATCGCATTAGACACTTTTGTAACAATATTCATGTCAAGGTTCTGTTATTAGGCTTTACTTTTTATTATGTGCCATTTTGCTGACGTGTAAACAACATATAAACGCTACCGAACACAATTAATGCATTTGAGCCGTCCATTGAAGGAAAAACAGGCGCAACTCAAGTAAAGGCACAATAAAGTAATTTTTCAAAATGATAATGCTCGACCACATGTTGCTCATGAAGTCAAAAAATACTCAGAAACGTTGAAATGTGATGTTTCGCCCCAACCGCCATATTCACCAGATATTGCTCCATCAGATTATTATTTAGTTCGATCCAGATGGAAAAAAGTAGTAGCTAACGATGGCCAATACTTTGAAAAATAATAATGTACACAATTTTTCACGATACAGCCTAGAATTTACAAAAAATCCTTAAAAATTAATTCACTGTCCGCTTATTTTTGCTTACTCAATAATTTCACACTGAAAAAAAATTTACAAATAAAGAATGAGCATCATTGTATTATGCACTTAATTAACATTTTGATAATTAATCTATTTTCATTTTGAAAACTACAAGTGATGTTTTGTTATTATATGAAACGGAAACATCTATTATAGTTCCCAAAACGAAAATAGATTCATTTCCAAAACGTCAATTAAGCGAAGCAAGAAATATAATGGTGCTTATTTCTATTTGCCCGTTTTCTATTTTGAGGTTTTCGATTAAGGCAAAATGGTTTCATAAAAATAATTTGACCGATTCTTTTAGTGAAAAGGTGTTTTTATTTAATTTTTACATCTTTTCATTGGTGGCAAAGTTCTCCTATAAACAGAAGAAAATATACTACTCCAAAAAATAAATTATTTATATTATAATGTGCCATACTAATAGTATTAACTGTCACATTAGATCTTATCTTGTCATGGCCTTCCAAGACCACAATTTTAAATCTGGATGATTTATAGTTAAATTTAATTCAAATGGTATTCTTATTTTAAAACAATACCTAGCATTGGTTAACTAGTATTATTATCTAATCTATTTCATTTTAATTTAATTTATACTTTTTCTTTTAGCTCAAAATACTGCTCTACTGTGAAAAATATTACACATTTGTTGCATAAATAACTATTATACGCAAAAAATTTGGGAATAAATGTGGAGAAATACGCCGCCTGACTAATCACAGCTATTCTAAAAATTAGTTTATCTATTAACAAATAAAGATAATTGGAGTTAACACTGGTTGTGATAACAAATTTATGATTAAGTGTAAAAATAAACACATCATTTTGGAGTTCACAGTAAGACGTTCAATTTTCTATTAACCTCTTTTACTGTGACTGGAAACTATTCACACTCTTTAAATTTACAATGAAATTATTTTTTATTTCTTTATTGGTTTTTCAGATCTTGGGTCGCGAAAAAAATTATTATCTAAGTATAAAATTTAAATGACATATCAGTATTTTTCCAAACAGGTGATATGGAGTTGCAATAAATGACTACTAGACTACATTACCGATAAATTTAATATCATTTGCTATATCAATACACCTGTGTACACATTTCACATAATATTAAACACCATTAAATTCCTGTAGATAATGTATAGTTTACGACTTAGAATTGCTTGACTACTGATTAAAGTTTATAATATATGAATCATTTTTATTAAAACAACTTTGTTGTCTCCTGATACATATTCTCTTTAATTTTTTTCTTTTTCTCGTGGTTGAATTAACAAATTTAAAAGTATTGGTCAAGAATTTTTTATCGTTATATTGTCAAAAAGTTGACGAATTTTACACGTTCTATAAATTATGATTATATGTATAAATACCATATACAGTATACTTTAAAATATTGAAATAATCTCATTTAAAGATCTAATTACATTATCACTTATCAGTTACTTACCTAAGTTAAAGACATTTACTGGAAAAATAGTGACATAATGGTTTATACAGGTATATCTATCACCAATTTTGTTATTAGATTCATTAAACTGATCTTGCTTAAAGATACTAGGACAATTCTAGGGATATAAAATAATATTAAAATCTTTAGGATAATTTTAAACAGCCATAGTACCCTTAGAAAGCTTAAAAAATATGTTCATGAGAACTTATTTTTCTTATTTTTTTTTTTACTAAAATATTTTTTATTCAAAAATTCAGATATCAAATTTTCAAAAATAATATTTTAAAATTAATTTTGTATTAAAAAATGTTAATCAAATATTCATAGGCACACATAAGTATAAAAAAATTGTGGGCTGGTCAAAGCGTGGAACCCCCAAAAAATAACACCTGATATGTTATTATTTAACATATTTAAGAAATACGCTACCCTCAAACAAATAAAGATTTCTAACAAGTAAGCAGCCTCCCCCTAAAATAATTTTACAGTGCTATTAAAAAATTGTTTCATGACGACATGATGCTGTGGGCTATATATTGGCAGGCATTAAATTTTCTATATCGTCTTATTTTGGTCTCAGGAGTCTGGGGACGAGCGATGACCCAGCCTCTCTGAGACACCCTGTATAAAGCATGTTAAAGAAAAATGTTTCAATAGGCCAGTGATTTATGTAGCTGATGGAATGGTATATTAATGCCGTTTTGTACATATTAATAAACAGGAAATTTTTTTCCTTACAAGTTATACTATAGTTTGAATTTTTAGCATATTTTAGAAAATAATTTGGTGAATCTTGTTAAATCATTATGTATTAAGTCAAAGTCAAATGTCAATACAAGTTAAATACAAATGGAATATATAAAAAAAATTTACTGAGGTATTTCTTTCGGAGAAAATTTTTGAATCCCTCGATTTTTATCTATTTACATACTTAAATATGGTTTTTAGCTTCTATATTTTTTTTTCTAAGATTTTTTTATGAATGTTTACCGTTAGGCTACTATAAGTCTGATATACTTTAGAATAAATACCTAATCTTATCCATGGTGTCAAAGATGATATTATATCAATGGTATCATACTATTCCAAACTAATCCAATACAGAATCATAAACTAGATTGGCAATAGATGAAAATATTGTGTAACCTATCACCTCTTATTTCATTAAAATAATGTTGCGGATCATGATTGGTGTCTACTTCAAAAAGAATGTGGAAGTGGAAACTGGAAACATCTAGTAAGTGTTACTGTTCTTATGCAGTCAATTTTAAAATAAATAAAGCTACCATTCTTAAGATATTAAAATCCTTACTTGTGGGATAATAATTGTCAGAATCACCTTATCTAATATATTTGTATAGGAAGAGGGTGATATCAGTAAAATATTCAAAACAATTCGGTTATTACCTGAAGATAAGGTAGGCACCCCCAAATAAACAAACATGTATATCTGTGACACATATGCATAATAGCTACACTGATTTCTGTTGAAATTATTTTTCAGTTTGGACAATTTTTTCCATACTTAAGAAATTTGTGATAAACGGACCCTCTTGTCCTGTACATCTAAACATCTAATGATGCAGGATATAGAACAACAACAAATAATAAAACTAGGTAAAAATTCTGAAATACTTTGCTGTTATATGACCTAGAGTAGAGCATGTCTTACAAAAACTATTTTTGAGATTTTGCAAAAACATATTCCTATTAGAGGTGGATAGTAATATCTGGTTCGATATGATTGACTCACTAAGGTTTAGATTTACTCTCAAATAACGTGGGTTCTTTATGGATTGGGAGAATTTGTTAATTAGCCACGTGTAGAAAACGAGATAAGTTTTCGCATGGTCAATATAGATTAAAAGCTTCAAAAATGGACTTGGCTGATTTTGAAAGTAGGTTTCAACCGAGGGGCGATCCGCTAAGAAAAAAAAGTACGAAGATTACAAAATTTCTGAAATCTCTTGTAATGTATCTGCAGATTTCAATATCGATTAAAAAAAAATTACAAATTTCATATAAATAATCAAGATTACAATATCTTTCAACCGATTACAAAACATTTCAGGAGATTTCAGAGTTATTTTAGTAGATTTCAATGATTATTTAAGATTTCAATAGGATTATTCGAAATTAAAAGAAGATTTCAAAATTTCTTAATAATATTTCAAGGAATACGGGAAGATTACAATAAGTTTTGAATGTCCATTTGAACAAAAATAATTGAATTAACTTCAACTGTCATTCATTTCATTCATTAACAGTAGTGCTTTGATTAAGAATTTCCAGTATCATTTTTACGCAAAAATTGTAACATTCTGATTAAGTTTTTGTTCGAATGAACGTTAAAAACTTTTTGTCATGACAAAAATGATAACGCCATTTTGAAAGTAGGTAAGTATATATTTTTATTGAAAGATAAAAATATAATAATCCAATAAACTAATAAAAATAAAAAAATAGAAGTAACATAAAATAAACATTTTCCCAAAAAATAAATAATAAGAAATATTTTAAGCTTTTATTAACACTTGTATTTAATACTTTACCTGTATACAGTGTATTTAAAAAAGACGCGGCAATATTTAAGGGGGCGATTGCCCAGATCATTTTATAAAAAAAAGTTCCTATAAACATACGTCCGCAAACGCTTCGTTACCGATCTACAGAATGTTGAAATTTCATTAAAAAAACAGTAAAAATTAAATTTCTCCAAAACCTCTTGATATTATAATGAAATTTTAGGCCTGTCAATAGCTATGGCAGACGCGTACTTTGCAATACAAAACGATTTTTTAGTCTTACCAGTGACTAGCTATTTTTAATGAAAAAAATAGGACCCCGCTGGTTTTTCTAAAAATATAATTTTTTAATTCCTTGTTCAATTATGAAGAAGAAAGCTTTCCTCAGATTATACGCACCGTACGTCACACCGTTATTGAGTAAAAAAATAAAAAACATTTTATTGCGCACCTAAACCCAATGTTGTTTTAATTGAGAAATTTAAATTATTGAACAAAGAAATTCAAATTATCAAATTTGATTGATTTTTGAAATGTGGTACATACTGTTGTTTGTAGTAGGTAATAATAAGGGGCTGCGTTTTAGAGAAATTTAATTTTTACTGTTTTTTAATGAAATTTCACATTCTGTAGATCGGTAACGAAGCGTTTGCGGACCTATGTTTATAGGACTTTTTTTATAAACTGACCTGAGCAATCACTCCCTTAAATATTGCCGCGTCTTTTTTAAACACACTGTATACAAGTAAAGTATTAAATGCAAGTATTAATAAAAGCTTAATATATTTTTTATTTATTAGTTTTTGGGAAAATACTTACCTACTTTCAAAATAGCATTATCATTTTTGTCATGACAAAATGTTTTTAACGTTCATTCGAACAAAAAACTTAATCAGAATGTTACAATTTTTGCCCAAAAAATGCCTGATACTGGAAATTCTTAATCAAAGTACTACTGTTAATGAATGAAATTAATGACATTTGAAGTTAATTCAATTATTTTTGTTCAAATGGACATTCAAAACTTATTGTAATCTTCCCGTATTCCTTGAAACCTTATTAAGAAATTTTGAAATATTCTTTTAATTTCTAATAATCCTATTGAAATCTTAAGTAATCATTGAAATCTACTAAAATAACTCTGAAATCTCCTGAAATGTGTTGTAATCTTGATTATTTATATGAAATTTGTAATATTTTTTGAATTGATATTGAAATCTGCAGATACATTACAAGAGATTTCAGAAATTTTGTAATCTTCGTCTGTTTTTTCCTTGGCGGATTGCCCTTCGGAACACACCAATCGCACCATATAGGTTTCTGTCGAGGTTTCTGTGGCATTCTTTGGAAAATGAGGTAGGGGGGGGGGCGTTGTACAAAGACTACATCGACGAAATTCATTAGCTGATTACATAGATTACAGATAAGATTACGTAGATTACAGATAGATTACATAGATTACAGATAAGATTACGTAGATTACATAAAGATTCCAGGGCAAACGTACGAAGATTACATCAGTGGATCGCCCCTCGGTTTCAACACTGATATGTCTCAATAACAATAAAAATATGAAAATGAAAATTGATATTTCATCTGTTTACACGACTACAAATGATGCACAAACTTAAAACACAATTAGTGCATTACTAAAAGGCAAAAAATGTGATGTGAATATGATACTAATCATTTCTCATCTGGTAGGTATGTCATATCATATTAATATTTATTTCCACGATATAAAGATATATTCAGATAAATTTGTCACGTATAGTTAAGCATACTGATAAAATTTTATGTACATTGGTAATCATAAATAAGAGGAAAAACTGACGTAGATTTGAAGAGAAAGGGCATGTTTGTTTTACAGGGTGGACATGCAAAAATTGCCTTCCCTTTTCTCCGTTATTATTCAAAATATGAAAAAAGTTAAGATAGAAAGTTGTAAGGATTTAAATTTTTTTTTTAAATCTAATAAAATAAAAAAATTTGGGCCACATTCGAATAAACTTGTCTGCTACCCAAAGCATCAATTAAGAAACATTTATATTAATCATTATCAATTATCCAGATTTGATAACTTAATCTGTCAAATTTGTATCGATATCGATAGTATTTTAATCTTTTCTGGACTATTATTATTAAACGTTGTCTTCATCTAATCCTAAGATTTATAGGACCACATTCTATAATTATTTAAGAATATTTAGCTGCTTACCTAACATTAGGGAATGGTTTATAACACCACCAAAACAATATGCAACTAAAAGAATTACTGGCCATGATTTATCCTTTAGAATGTACATCATACAAAACTGGAGCAAAACCATTCCTGTTACCACCCATTTAAAATTTGGATCATAACCAAATAGTTTCTTAATTTGCGGATATTTTTCTGAAAAAAAAAAGATAATAAGTACACATTACTACGTAAAAATCTTATGAGATTATACTTTACAATAGGAGGAGAATTAAGTGCTACATATAATGTTACTTCTAATAATTATTTATTTATATCTTGATTTTTCCCTTAAAATAGTTTTTCGAAATAGTATTCATATACGTAAATGAAACTGATATATATCATGATAGCAGACTAAACATTTTATATGTTTTTAATAAAAATATAATGATTCGGTGATTCATTTCATTGCAATTCTGTGAACATGAGACAATCTTATGTGTAGAGTAATTAATTATTCTTAAATACGTTCATGAATGAAGACATAAAAAACTAACCTAAAATTATTTTTCTTCGACTAGCGTGAGGTTCTTCGGTATATACCCATTCAAAATCAGTTCTGGATACATGTTGTCCCATTTTTGGCATCAAATTAATTATATCTTCATTCGATTTAAACTAATCTTTAACTAAATCACTTCAATCACCAGTTCATTATACAAAGATGACGTAACCTACAATATAAGTTTAGCAAACATTGTACACTGTACACATTTATAGTTCTCAGTATATGCACCCGGCACTTGGTTTCTCTAGCCGGACTAAGTCCGCCAGATAAAATAAAAGTGTAAAAGATACGTTGTGTTGATGTATCACACAGATTCAATTTTATTAGATTTACATCACAGATTCGGCGTACTAGGTACATGCCAAGTTGAGGTGGGTAGTTCTCTTTCTCTGTCTCAGGTGGTAGCTTGTAATGTAAGTAGGCGTAGGCATATAAATTCAAATTGTAACCACAAACATGTGTCACAAACACAAACTATAAATGTTAGTTGCTTTTGGTTTCAGTTTTCGGATCTAAACGCGTTATGATCCCAAAATCACGTTCGTAGTTGTTTTCTTGTTTGCGGATCTTGCCAGATTATATGATCAAGATCGGTAATCCCCTTTCCCTTATGAATCAAATATTTTCTGTGATTCGAAGTTTTGATCACGATCACATATTTAATATAACCATATTTAAACATATTTTAATAAAATTGTGGTGTTTTTTTTTCTAAGAAGGCAGTTATTATTTTTATTTTAATTGTGCACAGGAGAATAGGTAAACGATATTTAAAATCAAATCAAATATCAACAGTAAACAAAATTCTGTTCTCTTCGAAATTGGATTCAAGGATCAGGTTCGTGTTTGTCTGATACTGATTCAGTGATCATGATTCAAAACTGAGAGTGAAAGGAAACGGCTAATACTATTGCTGAGGGCCTTTCGATTTGGCAAAAATAGTAGCTATTAGTAGCTAATAGCAACTTGGAGTTACTCTGAACTGATATTAGTTGCTAATAGGTACTATTTTTGCCAAAATGAAAGCCCCCCTGATAGCGAAGCGTAGCGTAAAGGCCGGGACACAATGGAAAAATATAAAATACAAATATAAAATATTAAATATAAAATAGAAAATTCGATAAATATGCTTTCATATCAGTTCCGAGCGGGCAGCCGAGCAGAGCACACGTGTTTTGTGAAAGTGTAGTGCAAAGAGCAAAATCTACCTGCCTTTATTAAGGCTACCTGGAAAGAATCTCTTTCTTTCCTCTTAATCACCGACCTAATCCCCGGCTTAAGTATAGAGGCCGTCGGCATCTTTGTTACAGGTACCTGTGCCGGGGTTATGCCCAGGTAAGTT